TTTTTGAAGCAGGGTCTCCCTGTAGCCCCAGCTGTCCTGGAACTCACTATGTAGACCAGGCTGGCTTTGACCTCACAGAGATCCGCCTGCCTCTGCCTCCCAAGTGGTGGGACTACAAACGCACGCCGCCATGCCTGGCTGTAGAACTCGAGTATTTTAAAGTTTTTGAGTGACTTGAGGTTAGTGTCATAATCAGTAATTACTAAGAAAAGTTTTCTTTCAAGTCATCTATACATTTCCAAACTCATCTGAGACAGACTGGAAATAATGCATCTAACTTTTCTCCCATAGATAGGTTTAAAATACAGAAGGCTTTCTGAAAGAGAATGGGTTTGTTACTGGCACAAGAAAAGAGAGGGTAGTTCGTACACTACTTCAATTTTTTTTTTTAAGTCTACATTCAGAAACAAAGGATGAAATGCTTAGCCCATTCTCTTTAAACACAGCATGGCACCGTTATACTGCTGTAATATATAATCTCAGATTACTCAAAAGACATTAATCTTGTCAGTCTTTTCGTGGGTTTCCACAACATAAAGAGCATTTTACTTGTTTTGAAGCATTTGAAAAATACATTAAGCCACAGACACCCAGAAATGACCATAAAACAGTAGCTTTGTTTAAAGAGTTTAAAACAAAATCCAATAAAGCATACAAAAACAATGTTTATGAAATACTACCAAATAAACACATTCGACTTTCCACAGGTTTCACACAGGATAGGTTTTGGTAGAACATCACTGTATATAATTAGCATTATATTATGAAAAAAATCTGATAAACAGGGTCTCCCTATAGCCACAGCTATCTATCTATCTATATATATATCTATCTATATCTATATCTATCTATATATAGATATAGATATAGATATAGATATAGATATATATAAAAACAGGGTCTCCCTGTAGCCCCAGCTGTCCTGGAACTCACTATGTAGACCAGGTTGGCCTTGAACTCACAGAGATCCACCTGCCTCTGCCTCCCAAGTGCTGGGATTACAGGTGTGCACCACCACACCCAGCCAATCTAACTGATTTTTACAGGGAATTGTTTGGTCTCCTGAATGGAAATACTTGGGACCTGACAGACAGTGCTCCTAACAAGATATGGAAGCACAGTCAACACTTTACTCAAAAAAGAAAGGTCTCAGCATCTTTATCCTTCACTCAGTTTTGGGGTTACCTACAAAATATGCAATTGTCTGTTATCCCCACAGAAAGCAGGGTCTGCTAAAGAAAGTGTTCTTATCTCCTCCCCTCTTTCCTTCCTTCCCTTCCCCTCTCAGGCTCTTCAACAGCTCAGACTGGCCTCAAATTGGCAACCCTCCTGCCTCAGCCTCCTGAGTGCTGGGACTACAAGCGAGTGCTACCACATCTGGCCATTATGCTTTTTTAAAAAAAAAAAATTTTATAGAGCCGGGTGTGGTGGTGTACACTTTTAATCCCAGCACTCAGGAGGCAGAGGCAGGCGGATCTCTGTGAGTTCAAGGCCAGCCTGGTCTACATAGTGAGTTCCAGGCCAGCTGGGGCTACAGGGGGACCCTATCTCAAAAAGACCAAAAAAAAAATTATTTATTATTTTTATGTGTATGAACGTATTGCCTGCATGTGCACCCATGTCATGCAATGCTCTCAGAGGACAGAAGAGGCTGTCGGATCCCCTGGAACTGGAGTTATGGACAGTTGTTAGCTGTCATGTAGGTGCTGGGATTCAAACCCGGGTCTTCTGCAAGAACAGTGTTCTTAACCGCTGAGCCATCTCTCCAGCCTCCATTATCCTCTTTTTATAAGACACCATTCAAATCTTCCAAAATAGCTTAGTACGCTCTGCACATCTGGTGCTATTTACTTAGGGAAAATAAACCACAAGAGGATGGAACAGAACAAGAGTCTTACAGCTTTTGCCAGTAAAAAAAAACAAAAATTTCTGTTTTGTATGTTTTTTTTTTTTTGGTGGGTTGCTTTAAAATTTTTTAATTGGGGGTGGTAGGGTGCTTGCATGTATGCATGCAAGAATATGCATGATACAGAATGTGTGCAGATCAGAGGAAAGCACTGTGGAGTTGGGTTTCTCCTTCCATCTTCATGTGGGTCACAGTGCCTTTACCCACAGAGCCATCTTGTCAGCCCTAAGGATTTTTTTTTTAAAGACAGAGTCTTGATATGTGACTTAGGCTGGTTTTGAACGTATACTTTTGAACCCTATACTTTCCTCTTGCCTCAGTCTACAAGTGGCATGATTATAGTATGCGGCACCATACCTGGCTTTGGTTGTTTTCTTTTGTCATGTTGATAGTGGGGTAGATAGAACTCAGGTCTTGTGCATGTTCAACAACCAAAGTACTACTCCTGAGCTATATCCCTAGCCCTTGGCTTCCAGAGCTGGGATGACAGGTGTGGTTACACGACCACACTCAGCCCGTTTCCTACTTTTTTTTTCTGATTTTTGAGATGGGGTCTCCCTTTAACCCCAGTTGGCCTTGAACTCGCTCTGTAAAACAGGCTGCCCTCATCTCAGAGATCTGCCTGCCTCTGCCTCCTGAGTGTGAGTGCTGGGATTAAAGGCATAAGGTATGTGCCATCATGCCCCTTCATACTTTTTTTTTGGTTTTTTTGAGAAAGGGTTTCCCTGTAGCCCCAGCTGTCCTGGAACTCACTATGTAGGCCAGGTTGGCCTTGAACTCACAGAGATCTGCCTGCCTCTAAGTGCTGGGATTAAAGGTGTGTGCCACAACCAGCCTTTTTTGTTTTTTTGTTTGTTTGCTTGCTTTTTTGGTCACCCTTCATACTTTTTAAAATTGGTTTTGCTTTTAAGGTAGGAGGCTTGAGGTCCTGCTTTATGATCCAGACAGAAATCTGTAACTTCTCCACAGATTGAAATCTACTATTGATAGACATGTATGAGGAAGTTAGAACTACCAGCCAGGAAAACTTGGGAGAATTTATTTTAGGGGTGGTAGGTAATTAGGAGGAATGAGAAAGGAAGGAGACTTTAATTCCCAGAAGAGATTTTGCTGTTTTCAAAACTACACCTCAAAGTCTTTCCAGGGTGAAACCTGAAGCCCCACAAGAAAAAATTTTAAAATGATGCTACAAATAAAGCTTAAGAGATGACAGAGAAGCAGAAACATAAAATGATAAACCAACGAAATACACATTTCCACAAGTCAACTGCATGCAACAGTGAGTGCTAGAGCCTAGAAATCACTTACTTTTCTCCGAGTGTCACCCGGAGGCTGCTCTGGAGTAGAGAAATTGATGGTTGGCATTTTATTGTTTAGCAGAAGACACACCCACATTCAGAACAGCAATGCTCACACTTAGGACTACACTAGTAGAAAGCATTTAGTCATTCCAGAGCAGAGTCTGCAGTGTTGCATACACAGAGCACAGGGTAGCTGCTGAGATACATAGGGCTTTAACATGGATCTGAGACAACTCAACAGCTATGGCTCTGGTCACACACTCACTTGCCATGAGCACAGCATGCTACCTTGACTAGGCGAATGTCTGAGTCTTATACTTGGTGAAGAAAAATTCATTTTTCCTTTCCATTTGTTCTTTAGGCCTCACTCATATTAGATGAGTACTCTACCACTGGGCCTCAACAGTTCCCAAATTCATTTTATTTATTTATTCATTTATTTTATGTGTATGTGTGTATTGCCTGCATGCATAAAAGTGCACCCATGTCGTGCAATGTCCTTGGAGGTCAGAAGAGGGCATTGGATCCCCTGGAACTGGAGGTACAGACAGTTGTTAGCTACCATGTGGGTGCTGGGATTCAAACCCGGATCTTCTGCAAGAACAGCCAGTGTTCTGAGGCATGTCTCTAACTTGTGGTAATCCTCCTGTTTCAGCTTTCCAGAGTGCTGAGATTACAGTCATGAACCACTTCACCATGCTCCAAAATTCATTTTAAAGTTACAGGAATGGTTGGCTACTTCTCAAGGAGTGGAACAGTTTTGTTTTTGTTTGTTAGCTTTGTTTGGTTTTTAAGGCAAAAAGTGTTTAGTATAAAAACACATGTATAAGGGGCCATGACCCAGTTTGATTCTCAAAGTCAGGTACATTCTACTCTGAATGCAAATAAAGCAGTAGCTTTTGAACATTCAGCTACTCAGAGTGAAAATGAACAAACCACAGGACAATTAAGTAACTTCCTGTTCTTGAATCAGACAAATTCTGTAAGTGCATTTGTAAAAGTGATGAAAATCACTAAAGTGAGGGCTGGAAGTGTAACAATGGGAGTGGGCTTGCCTAGCATGCATCGGGCCTGGATCTACCCAGCACGGGAAAGTAGTCATTATGAAGACTTTCCACTGTAAGGTACTGGGGCAATTATACATTGCCAAACATCTTCAGTATAGTGTTAAATATCTTTTTTTTTTTTGTCTTTTTGAGACAGGGTCTCCTTGTAGCCCCAGCTGTCCTGGAACTACGTAGACCAGGCTGGCCTCAAACTCACAAAGATCCACCTACCTCTGCCTCCCAAGTGCTGGGATTAAAGGTGTGTACCACCAGGCCTGGCTAGGTCTAAATATCTTTAAATATACATATCAGAGGAGTAAGTCTAGTCACTAAGGAAAACACCTTTTCATAAGATTATTAGAACATCTAATTATACCACTACAAAAGACTGACTGTGGGGCAAT